TTTATTGTTTTTTTAGAAATGCTACTTACATATATGAAAACATTTATATACAACTTATTTTATTTAATTAAATGTGATAGTAATTATTTTTGACACATGAATTTCATCTTCAAATGTTTTAATGTTTGTGCTTAATTTTGAACTATCGATCATATAAATTAGTCAAAATCAAGCATTTTATTCAACTTCGAGCTCAAGTTTGAGCTACTCATACAATAAGAGAGCCGAGTTCGAGCTTGACTCAACTCTTTTGCACCCTTAGTATGTTCACTTCACTTTGGAATTAGTATGTTCCGCGCGAACATCAAACGCTAGCCAGAGATCAACCAGAATGCGCCGCGTCACCGCCGCTCGGTACCGTAGCTCGGTTCCGCGCTCGGTACTGCTGTCTACTACGCTCGTTACTGTTAATGTGACATATTCTAATTAATATCCGGACGATAAAAGTTCAACATCCCCACAAAATAATTTTCCAACCATTCGACTATTCGAGTCATTTGACCATTTTCCGGTTGACTGTGCCGCTTTCCTTCCAAATTTTAATGCTGGTAAGTTCACGGATGGTAAACATAGTTAAACCAACCCGTCTTTCTAATTTGCCACGTGGGCACCTCCTCGAAGGCGGGAAATAGTTCGCACTGACAAATGCCGTCAGTGGAACGTGCCGGCCAGCCGTTAGTTTTTTTTTTAGGGAGCGATATGACTTATGAGGGACCAGCCGTTAGATTCTTGCCCGCTAATCTTATCCATGCTTCTGTCATGCTTTCACCCTTTAAAAAGAGTAAAATTACAAAAAAAGGCACCTTCTGGATTAGTTCAAAATAGCAAGTTTCATCATTTGGCTCGAGTGTAATTAAACTGCGAGAAAAGGTTTAAAAGCCGAGCTCCAACATTCAAAAATAAAGTAAAATTCTGCACTGTACATTTCATAAAAATTCAAATAAAATTTATCTATAAATTATAATTTACATATATAATTAATTTAGGCGAGTATTATCTAATTAATTTTAAATAACCAGCCATCTAATTATATATTCATGTCATATGATTTTTTTTAATTCACCTAAAATATAAAATTTAAATTTATGATGTATGCTTATTAAGTTATTATCATGATCAAATTATCGAGAATAGCATCAGAATAAAAAATAATTAAATTATTATAATTTTTAATATTATAATGAGCATTTAATTATAAATATGATTAAAATTCATAAATAAAAAAATAATCTCCTTCAATCAACCTAAGGTTCTTGAATGAAGTAGTTTTTAATTAAAAGAAAAGAAGATAATATTTCTCTGAAAGTAAAGTTTATATTAGTGATTGATACATCATCACAAAATTAGCTTGATCAGGCACGAATCTCGAGGCAAAAACTAGTTGGAGACTTCAAAAATTAAATCCGGGAGCATCCGAACTCCGATTTCAACGATCTTACAGTCAAACTGAGCGTCTCGGAAATACGAACCCAAAAACACCAAGATCGACCCAATCCGAGCCCAAATAAGTCCGAATCAAGAGTTCAAAGCGCTGTTGGAAGGTTCAAACAGCAATTTGAGTTACCAAACGGTCTCCGATTTTGACGAGCTTATACTCGAATCGAACGGCTCGACGAGACAAATCCAACGAGCCCAAGATCACTAAATTCCGACATCATTAAGGCCTCCAAATGTCCAACAAACGGTGCACGATCGTAGGATTCAATATCGGCCGTCCATCTGACCACTCCCTATTTGCCCCTGATCTCACACCT